GCGTTATCTACTACTGTAATGAATGGGATGTCTTTGGGAATTTCCTCAAATATGTCAACTAATTGTTTGTTGGAAAGGCCACTAAGAGGTCTAGTACAACTTGGCACTTAATAGATCTAGGCTAGGTGTATTCAATTATGGGTTCACTTGGTTGCATCATCCATTTTACCAATATCCTGAAAGTGGTGGCTTATCCACAAAGTACAAACAGGATCATTCTTTGCTATGAGCACTATCTTTTGTCCTAGTATATAATGCCAAAATTTCTAGACAGCGAAGACTAGCGTTAAGTACCATTGTTCCATGTGGGAGTATCTCCTCTTTATTGGTTTAAGAATTCTACTGGCATAGTAGATTGGGCATTCTTGTCGTTCTTCATTCTCCTAAGCTAGTAAACACCTTATAGCTTCTAAGTTGAATGTGCTATAGAGCCTAAACTCTTTACTACTCTATGGAGGGGACATGATTTGGGCTTTGGCTAGTGCTTGTTTTAAGTGTTCTAACGCCTTCTCATGTTGTTTGAACACTAAAATTTGGTGGATGTTTTAGCCATCTTGTAGAGGGAAGAAGCAGTGGGTGCCAATCTTACGATGAACTTTCAGAGGTATGATACTTTCCCTATGAAGGTTTTATGTTGTAATCATTCTTTGGAGGAGGTAGCTCTAAAATGGCCTTGAATTTGGCCTCATCAAGGTGGATGCCAGACTAATTGACTCTGTATCTTAGGAATTTTCCTGATTGGACTCCAAATGCGCATTTCAGTAGGTTCAGCCTTAGATTAAACTCTCTGCATCTTGTAAATACTTTCCCGAGGAATTATGTGTGGCTCTCTTCATTTTTTCTCTTGACAACCATGTTCTCCACATAACATTTTATATCCTTATGCATCATGTCATGGAAGACATGTCATTGCTCTCTAGTAAGTAGCTCCAGCGCTCTTTAGCTTGAAAGGAATCAGTTTGTAATAGAAGTTGCCTATCGGAGTTCAGAATGTCATGTGTGGGGCATCTATGAGGTCCATGTAATTTTGATTATACCCATTGTAGGCATCTAGGAAAGGGAAAAGTTAATTTTCCATTGTGACTTCTATCAGGATCCTCATGTTGAGTACAGGAAACTCATCCTTCGGATAGGCCTTATTAAGGTCTTGGAAATCAATGCAACACTTAAAGGATAGTAGATGATAGGAATTAGTTGGACTCTACTGTGCGATGAGTACTCTGAAGGGGCATTTGGGAACTAAACTTAGTTGGCCATTCTTCTTTTTGTCAGGGACGACGTTTGCTAGCCACTTTGGGTGTGCAATGGGTTTGATGAAGCCAACCTTTAGGAGTCTTTCTATTTCCTCTTTGATTTTTAGCGCTATATTTGACTTGAAGACTCATTGGAGTTGCTTGACTAGCTTGTGCTTAGCATTAATGTAAAATAAGTGTTTGACTAGGGTTGGATCTAATCCTGGCATCTAGTCATATGACTAGTGCCCGGATGGCTATTCTCCGTGTTGGGTTGTTGGCTCCCTGTTTGCTGAAAATTTTCCACAACTCTTCACTCTGTTCGAATCATGTCAGCAATGTATTTGGTGCAATGGTGCTAAAGTTCACTATGATAACCATGTTCACACTCCCCCCTTGTTGGTGGTTGGTGTCAACTTGTGTAGGCTTGCGCTTGATAAAGTCATCCAGTTTGACCTAATGGGTGAATATCTGTCATAAGATAAAGCAATCCTTGAGGTCATGGTTGGGTGACCGATGGAAGTCGCACCATCTTGGGCCGTGTCGATCTTTCTCCAAATTGACATTAGGGGATGGAAGTGGTAGACTAATTACCTGATCTTCAACTAATTTGTTCATAATCATGAGTAACTCGCCTTTTCTACATCTAAATGAAGGTGGTGGAGATCTGTTGTCACGTCATCCTTGGTTCTTGGGCCTAAAATATAGGGTGTGGCCAGGTCCTCAGCTTGTGCGTTGTTTTCAATCAATTGCATAGGCTTCTTATTGCTGGTAGGTTAAGCTTGGTCCAGGTTGTTGAGGCCTCGGTGCAGCAACGGTTATTGCAGTCCTTCCCGTGCACTTCCAAAGCTGATTGAAGGTGTCGAGTTCAATGTTCTTGATTCTGATCTAGTAGGCAGGTTGCAGCCGCTGCTCAACATTGCGGAGGTTGTCCATGGTGAACCATTTGGATAGGAACTTGGTCGTGAGTTCGCTCCAGGAGTCCAAACTTCCAGGTGGTAGATTAATGAACCACAAGTAAGTGGGTCCATTGAACAACTTCAAAAATTAACGAACTAGTAGGTCAGAATCCCAAGACATCCTTAAACTTGCTAATGTGCTCTTAGGGGTTGCCCCTCTATTTGTTGTATAGGGGCCACTGTTGTGGAGGCGTGTAGCTAGTAGGATAAGGCTTGCGTAAAATTTTGTTTGAATACAACTTCTAGAGGATGAAGGTGGGTTGGGCCTTGTTCTGGCTAGCCTCTGAACATATTTTTGCAGTTCTAGGTGACTAATGGGAACTTCAAGGGGAGCGGTGCTTCGTCTCCAATCACAGTCATTGGGACAAGGTTGGAAGGGGCAGGAGGTTGGGTGATCATCTGAGCAACATAGCCTATTGGAAAAACTGAACAACCGAATTGTTGTGGTTGAGGGTTACGTGGTTTGGGCGTGGGGTCTCCAAGGCGGATAGAGGGATGGGTAGATGTCCAGAGTGAAAGGAGGGTTTTCCAATGCAGTCATTTGTTGTAGGAGCTGTTGTAGAGTATCTCTCATCTCAGCCTGCATTCACTCTATGCAGCTGAACCAATTCTTAAAGTCATGGACCTTATGAGACAAGGATTCGATGTCAGAGTGGTCACTTGACTCTTGCGGAATTAGTTCCTTAGGGTTCTCGTTCGAAGTGTGATTCCCAGTGTCAATATGTTGCTATTCGGAGATCAAGGAAAGGTTGATTCTTCTAGGAACCATCTTTGTGATCAAGGAAATAACTAAATATTCTAATGTAAGTGGGACAGTGAGGCAAGAAAGAGGAATTGTCGAAGTAATGGGGGAAGGTGAAGGAAAGAGGAATTGTTGAAGTAATGGGGAGCAATAGGACTTAAGAGGTTGGAGAAGCTAGGAATTCAGAGACAAGTCTTGTGTGTGCTCAGGTCCCTCCCTTTTATAGAGGAAATCCCGAAGTTATAAGGAGAAACATCCAAATAAGAAATTTTCCTGTTAGGAAAGAGGATCACGATTCTCTGGCCTTTGTTGGGTAAACTCTATTGAAGCTTCACCGCGTGTCCAACAAGGATTTTTTGGGACTACGATTTCCTCTTCCCTTGGGATTCTCAAATGGTACATCTTGGCTATGGCCTTCCATGAGTTTTCTCATGGTCACATGTTGGGAACAAAGTTCCTTCAAGATGCTCACATGTCTAAGATAAATTGGCAGTTACAGTGAAATGAGTCACTATGACTCCTCATAGAGAGCAAGTGCGAGTAACTTGCATTTGCTTCCTAGATCATCCTTCAACCCTTGAGGTAATCTATAACAGCTAACGACCATCAGACAACGACACAATACCTATTGCAACTATGTTAGTGACTTATTTTGCATCATTGCAGTCCTCATTGTAAGTTGAATTCTTCATGTGTTTACTATTCAAGGTTCTCATCACAATCTTTGTGATGTTGAACTACATGTACTTATAGGTCTTGATTCTATATCTCCATAAGGATCTCACTTCGAGCTATTTTAATGGGACTGTATGTCTAGAACCTCTGAGGAGGTGTACAAGCTCTAGAGTATGACTCCCAATTCCTTACCTTCTTTTGGTCACCATCCCTTTCCTCATCTTAGTCCTTCCTCTTCTTTTTCTTGTCGTCGTCTTTCTTCACGCAAAGTGATTCCTCAGCGTTCATGTACTTCTCTGCTTCTAGAACTCCATCATGTCCTAAGGTAGTTTCTTCACCAAGGAAAACATGAAGTGGGGGTCTTGAACCCAATGAGCTATTGCTGCTACTACCACAACCAAGTCTAAGTTTTGGACCTCGAGAGCCTTTGAGTTGAATATTTGAATATATTCCCTAAGGGTCTCGTGTGGCATTTGTTAAACATGCATCAAGCTAGCTGTTGTCTTCTGGTACTTGTGACTAGTCGCAAAATGAGCTATAAGTATCGGAGCCGATGTCGTTTGGCTCTAAACTCGTAATGGACCAAGGTGGGAGCCCAAAATACTATAATCTCGTTGCTTTCCATAATGTAGTGGGGAAGGCCAAACACAGGTTCACGTCCAAGGTGCCATGAAGGAACATCAGCACCTAGAAGCTCTCTACATGATCCACAGGATTAGTGATAACATCATAAGTCTCAAAGTTTGGGGTGTTAAATCTCTGAGGTCTAGGTTTTAATACAATTTCTGGAGACAAAGGGGATGCCCTGGTTATCTTGGGTGCAATAGAAGCATGGTGCCAACTTATTATAGCATCTCATGCGATGGTGTCTGGTCTGTTACTCCGATGCTCAACTCGGCTTTTTATTAATATGTGCCATGGTTTCTTGCTGCATTCGTCGGATGAAATTGTTCCAAAAAAAAAGACTTCAGGGCTACTCTATCAGGTGTAAGTTTTTCTTTTTGGGAGAATGACGGTTCAGTATAGGGTCAGAATTTATAGGCTCAAAGTACTGTTGGGGAAGGTATCAGCTTGAAATTGATGCCAATTCACGGGCGAGCATTGATGCATAGAATGTGAATTGTTGACATTTTAAATACTTATAGCTCTGCAGTGGAAATCACAAATTTGCATTGAGCCTGTCCCTGCTGCGGGCTGCCAAGCCTGCCATGGTGGTGTAGCTGATTTCTTATCGTTATCTACGGGACGGCGGGAGACCTGTTGATGGACCTGTCGGATTTAGATTTTATCAAAATTTGAATAGGCCAGACTCGAAACCCGAGCCCAAATACAGTCTAAAATATTATCAAAATTTGAATGGGCCTAGCCCGAAGCTCGGCCAGTGAACAGGTTGCCACTTGCCAATGCCAGACGAATATGGTAATAGTGATATTGTGAAAGGCGATTAACATGCTCGCTCGAGAGTCGAGAAGCGCGGGCTTCAGCATTCTGGTTCTGTCTGGGGCTGCTGCTTCCCAGTTCAGTTCCCAGCAATTAGTAATTTCATTTCTAGGTTGTTGCTCTGTTACCACCTTTTCCCTTCAGTTTTACTTGCTTTGCTCAAATTGTTTTCTGATTTCCAAATGTGTCCGGTTTCTCTTCAAATTGATGCTTCTGTGGACTTCACAGACAAAAACAATCCCGATTTATTCGGAGACTTCTGCGTCACTAAGATCTCAGTGCTGTAATTTCTTCTAGCTTTCAATAACCTTGACTAATCTCTTCGTTGCTCTGTTCACTCATTTTCGTTTCTCAATGTATTATTGGCACACTTAGTTTATTAGACCATCTGTCTTACTAATAATCTAACAAACCTCCAGCTTTATTCCAGTTTACTTTTGTATTGGTAAGATGAAATGGCTGAACAGGATTTCTGGGTTGTATTTTGGTTTAACTTTTCTCCGTATCAGCCTCTTTGATAAAACTATCCACAAGTTTTTTTTTTTTTCGATAAAACTATGCACAAGTTAATAACTTCAAATATTACTAGGTATTACTTTATATATAATAAACCTTTTTTTTTTCCTTCCAGTGTTAAACCTGTCCAAGTTTCTTTAGCTTAACCAATGGAAGTTTCACTGTTTATCGAGATTTTCACGTAAATCCAATTTTGAGTTTATGAACCCACTCCATGTTATCTGCCTTTTACCCTTTTTTTTTAGTTTTGAAGGTTCTGAAATCTGAATAGAGTTGATCTTCGTTTGATTTCAAATGGTGTTGTAGCAATACGTTTTATAATACAATTTGGTTCCTTATGTGAAAAGTTGCAACTACCCTTGGAGACACTGACCACAATAATGTTGATTTTATTTGCCTCCTTGAACTGCCATTTATCTCATTTGCCCAATAGGAACTGGCTTTAACTATTTGCATAGTTTTAATTTGTTGTTCTCTTAGATCTCCTCTGGAAGTCTTGGTACTTTTTATTATTGTTTTTAATGTATAGCTTATATACTTAATTATTAATTTTTTCTATTTTTCATGCATTTCCAATTTATGATTTCATGGGATTTACTGGGGTCAACCCTCTGGTCAGTCCAGAATTGCTTCCAACCATACCTATCTCCTTAAAACGAGTTTGATAGGCATTGTAAAAGGATTTTAGGAATGAATTGGTTGATGCATCAATTGCCTCTACGAAGGTCTTCTGTCAATGCAAAGCTTCTTGCTGATATTCTTGCTTCTTATTTACTCTTCCATTAGCATTTGTATATGATTTTAGGATTTTATTATAGTTTGGTGTATCATCATCATCTTCATCTAAGCCTTATTCCAACTATATATATGGGGTTGGCTACATGAATCCTGTTTTCTCATCCGTTCTGTTTACTTCCATATCCATTGTTATTGTTTGTTAATATGTAAGTTTAGTCTTCTGTCCGTTCTAATTGTGGAAAATATATGCCCTTTGTCACTAGAGTTTTCTGGGAAAAACTTCCTATAGTAGTGATACTGCTGCTTATGGAAATCTCCTGCAGGCTCAACTAATTTGTCTTCTCTTCTGCCTCCTACATTTTTCAGTGGATGTGCTATTGTGCTAAACCTGATAAAACAATGTTCTCAACGTTACCCAGTGCAGTCATGGCATCCTCTCCATTTCCTCCTCACAGAGGCATCGATCCTTCAAGTTTTGTATACTTACTGTAAATTTCTTTGGGTTTGAATCTTCAATCTTTACTTTAAGAAAAAGAAGTAAACAGGCATGTTATCTCGTGCTTACTATCATCATTGGGTTTTAAACAGTCTACTTGATTGAACAAATAACCATGCCAAGGCATGCCAAGCACCTCAGTATTGAAGAACCATAAGCTACCTCTACCTCTGTCCTCAGATTTTTGGGTCGAGTTAAGTGGGCTTTGCAAGATTTTGAGTCTTGCTTAACAATGGAAGACATAAATAAGTTTGGTATTATGTGACACATATGGCCTTTTTCCTGTGCAAATTTCACATTTGAATCTTGGTGCTGTCACAGGAAATGCTTCAAAACTGTATTACTAGGACAACCTCAAACTAAGAGTTCTCATATTTGCATTTTAGCCAGTAAGAGCCTGTAAGAGTAACAAGTATTTGAATAAAAGAAGCTTTTAAGCTATCTTTAATGTGCTGATCCAATGTAACTCCATGTTTAGATTCATGAGGCATCTTGATAGTTCTTGATACCAGTACAGTCCTTTTCAAGATTCTTGGTCATGAAGCAGAGAAACAACATCATTTCAAGGTTTTCAGCTTCACATATCAAAATCTCTAGAAGAGAAGCAATGCCTTTGCAATCTTGCACAACCATTTCTATCACTGCTTCTCCTAGCTTCAGTTTAAAAGGTACTAATCTTCTAGATTTCTTCCACATTAAAAAGAAGGGTTGGATAACCTAGTTTTTCACTGTTTGAACTTATGCTTTGCAAGTCATGATATATTAAATTATACTTGGTGTCCATTAGTTATTATAAATATTTCTTTTCTTTATACACACAGTGAACATTGAACCAACAAGGCATCATTTTAAAATTTTAAAATCTTATGAGACATGCTATGTCCTAACTCCTTAGCTATACTGTGCAGTGTGGATTGAGAATATCATAATCATTATCACTATTAGAAGATGCATAGCACTAGTTGAAAGGGGGGGGGGGTCTTGTTGAAGTGGACACGAGCAAGCGAAGCGAGCGAGCTGGAGTGGAGCAAGACCCCTCTAACACAAAAAACCAAATTGGGGCTGCATTGAAAGGGGTTTGCCCTCCAGCCAAGGGGTCTGGGGGCTTTGCCCCCAACTCACTTTCTTTCCCCTTATCTTCCCTTCCCTTTCCTTTTCTTTTCTTTCTTTTTCTCATTTTTTTTCTTCCCTTTCTTTTTCTTCCCCTTCCCTTTCTTTTCCTTTCTTTTTTTCTTTTTTCTTTCCTTTTTCTTTTTTTCTGTTTTTTTACATGAGGTGTGCATGAAGCGCATGAGGCATACGCCTCTAGCATGCCTCATGAAAAAAGCGTATGAGGCGTATGCCTCAGAGGAGTCAGCACCACTGGCATACACCTCGGGGCATTTTGGGGGCACCTCACTTGGAGGTGCGCCTCCAGGTGTGCACCTCCCACGCCTTTTAAAAGACTGCCATATACATGTATATCCTTGTGCAACCAGCAGCTTTACATAGAACTTCACAAAAAGAAAAATGAAACAATCAACCTATACAGATCAAAAGAGAGCTATGTGATATCCATACAAGGATTTATAACTAAAAAATGTCAGAGTAAGGAATGTCCATGAATTCCTGGCCGATCAAAAGCCAAGAATATGTTGTCTTGATGACTCTTTTCATAACCAACTCTAGAGAAGGGGCTCAATTTTCTGACATCATTTCAGCTGTGTCTTTGTCTTGTGTAACAAACTTGAATCGTTGCATAGAACTCTATGCATAGGATTCATTCTACTTGGCCCTATTCAACTTTTTTTTGGACAAACAAAACAGGGAATTTATCCTGAGTAAGAGCTTTCCAAATCCAAATATGTAGCATGATGTGTAAAAGTCTCAAATCATACTCAAGTCAGAACAGAGTGTAGAGCAATCAAGAAGCAAATGTCAAAATAAAAAGCAGTGAGATGAAGATGCTGCAAAGAATGAGTGGTAAGACTAGTTTGTACCGCTACAAATAGATAACAAGACGGGGGAAGTTGAGCTGAGATGGTTTATCCATAGTAATAGACAACCATTGACTACATCTGTGTAACTGACATGATGCAAGTAGAAGGCTCTATAAGAGCGAGGGGAAACCAAAGAAAATGAGTATTGAAGTGGTAGGAATGATCTAATGGCATATAGATTAACAGAAAACAGAACTCTTAACAGAACTAAATAGTGGGAGAAGATTCATTTAGTTGATGCCATATGGTGGTTTAAGGCTGAATTAAGTTAGTAACTATTGGAAATATGCACCTAGAGAAATTGATGAAGTTAAATTGCTTGTATCAGTCAAGAACACAAATTAATAGTGTACAGTGTAACTGGTTCTATATTCATTAGAGAGATTTGGAACTGGATAAGAAATCATATGTAAAAGGAATGCAACAATTGTATGGCACTGTTACTGCTAGTGCTTGGGTTGAAAAAAGAAAGATTTTCTGTATGGAGCACTGAATCATATATTCTTAATACATACGGATATTCTTGATGCATCACAAAGATGATTTTCTAAGCATGAAAAGGATTTTCCTAATAAGGACTTCTGATCCAGGAAAAAATCGAGACTATTGATGAGGACTTGAGTTCATCATGTGTCAAGCAGGTACATTTGTCCAGTTACATTTAGGATAATTTATTAAAATGCTTTAAATCTGTATCTTGTGTAATCAATGTCGGACAAATATTTGATGTGCTTTTGATTTTCATTTTTGAGGTTTATGTGCATCAATATCCAAAATGTCACTTGTGTTGGCATCTACGTGCAGCCAGTACACAAGCACTTCCAAGGAGAATATCTAAACAAGAGTCCGGAGAGATTAGGAGATTCAAATTTGCCTCATCTCCCCATGTTTTATGAATGACTTCCCCATGATGTTCCATCAAAGGGGGATGCCAACATTAAGACTGAAATCTCAATGCAAAAGAGGAAACTAGACACATATATTTCAGTTCTACTTAGTGTGAGTTCTAAGTCCCATGGATCTACTAGTCAAAATGAAGGTTCTATTTTTGCCTTCTAATGAGATGGATTTGATCTGTTCAGAAACTTACTGAGTAGCTTCTCAGAAGATAGGACTTCATTCATGTATCTTGACTGTTTATGGTTTTCCTTACACACGAGATAAGAACTATTAAAGCATTAACTTGGATGCTCCTAGCTGTAGGGCAGTTCGGACGCCTGTCAACAAGTAGGTCGCTCGAACTGCAAAGAAAGGGAGGAATCAGAGAACCAAGGGTGGCTAACCCAGCGAGGTTGCTCCGATGCTTAAGTCAGTAATAGTAATATGAGAGCTGAGAGTTTGAGAAATATGAGAGCTAGAATGCACTTAATCGTGCGTACCTGGGTCCTGGGGGGTTGATGCCCTTATGTAGTTGAGTTGTCGTAGGTCTCACGAAACAACTCCGGGATCCTCGGTCCGTGTAGGTGAGATCCCTTCTGCTTTAGAAGGAGAATAACGTACCAGTCAATGAAGTCTATTGTTACCGTTTGATCAGGGTGGAGAGAGGATAAAGCCTACCGTTATGCAGCGTGATCCCGGGAGCTTCGGACTCCGCTGAGAAGCTTTTGGAGTTGATTACGTGTCACTTCGGTACTCGGGTGCCGAAGTGGCTTTGGTGCCGAGGTACCCGAACACCCGAGCTCCCGAACTACTGACAAGAATCCCCTTGCTGAGTTGTCATCCTACTAGCAGGTCGTGTTCACGTGTCATTTACTTACTAGGTCTGGCCAAATCACCCTTCATCAATTGCCCCCCACTCCTCGTGCTAGGAGTCCTGACCCGACGCGGGGAGTTCATGACGAGCCTAGGTGGATTTGGTACGATGTCTAGGTGGTACGAAGGGCGGATTGTCAGTTGGACCTATATGATCGCTTGGCTCGACCAAGAAATGACCCAGATCGCGTATCAGGTACGTGTGTACATCACGTCGATTATAAATTCCGCGGACTCAATTGATTTCAACCTCGGGCGACGTGCAACCGGTTTTCATAGGAGCCGTTGGATCACGCAGATCTTAACCTTGATCCTCGGATATGGTGGCTATAAATAGGGGCCAAAGGGCCCATTTTCCTTGCCACAAACCGCGTGACTGAGCTCTTTGAGATCACGTTCAAGTCACCTAGCTCGGTGTCAGCTATCCCTATGTCCGAGGTCGTCTTGCTTTCTTTGGTCTTCTTTGGTGAGTTCGCCTTTCCTTGTTTCTGATTCTATTGTCCATTCCTTTAGCATGTCTAGCCTTAGTTTAGATAGTCCATTAGATGGGAGTGGTGAGTCCGCTGGGGCCGAAGTGGGCACCTCGGCGCAGGATGTTGACTCCAACCTGTCTGAGGCGGACTCACCTCAGTAAGAGTGCGAGGCTTCCGACAGGTCAGCCTCCACTTCGCGTTGGGTTTGATTGTCGGACAGCTTCTACCTGTCTTCAATGACAGAGAACAAGCTCTTGTCCTTAGTAGCTCGGTATAGGCTACCCAACCACTTAGTGTACAGCATTCCCTTAGGCAACTTTCCTTGGGATCACGGCCATGACGAGATCGTGGTCTTCAAAGAGTAGCTCGTAGCCTGACTGTGTTTCCCACTCCATCCCTTCATAGTTGAGATCGTCAAATTCTTTCACATCGCCATAGACCAGCTCCATCCAAACTCTATCCGTAACATTGTAGGTACCATCTCCCTTTTCCATGATTATAACCAACCTCAGACCTCAATACCTTTTCCTCGATCTTATCCACAAAGAAAAATTCAGCATGTTTTCTCCCGAGCACAGGCAAAGCTATTACATGTCTCCTCGCCCCGGGTACAAATTGTTGCACGAGCTCCTAAACAAAGTCTTGACCTAGAAGAGGTGTTATTTTGTAGTCCGTAACACTGAGGGGTGGCCTTTTCCAACTCACTAGAGGCTCTGTTCGTCGTCTTTTGCAGCTGCCATTGCTGACATCCCCGTCGACGAGCTCTTTGGGGACATGCAGAAGGGGAAGAAGAAGAAGAGGGCCTCCAAGAAGGCTCGTCTCCATGAAAATACCACCACTTCCAACATAGGCGCCACCGTCCCCGAGCACCCTCTGGTTGCTGAGCAACCGCCAGTGATCGACTTGGTCGAGGAGGACTAAGGTAAAACTTCCCGCCCCACTTTCCCGAGGAGACCACATCTTCTGAGCCCCAGTATGCTTAGGCGACCATTCCATCAAGTGGCGACACCTTAGTCGGAGCATCTTGACTCTTAAGTTCAATCTCCTAAAGAGCAAGGACACGGTCTTCACCGAGGAGGTTGCTCGTTGGGCTGATCTACCAGTCGCTCAGCTCGGGGCCAGAGCGGTAACTCATTGTATGGTGGTACGTACTCAACCTTTGGGCTATATTATTCATAGTTTTTGGTCCATACTTAAATTATGTTTCTTCTCTTGGCAGGTGAATTCTTTGATCCATGCCCTAGCCTACCAATCCGAGGTGAACCTGAAATGAGCTCTCGAAGCCGAGGAGTCCTCCCAAAGTGCCCACTCCGAACTAAACCTTGCTCGCAGCGAGATCAACAAGCTGCAAAAAGATGTGTGAGCTAAGAAGGAATTGCTGACTCTACTAATTGTAGAGAAGAAGGAGCTGGAGGAGCGCGAGGCGATTCCTAAGAGAGAGAATGAGAACCTCGAGGCACTGGT